GGGCCCGGCCGGCACCTGGAGGGCTCAGGGGCCCTCGCGGATGACCACCCCGAAGGGACCTCCATGGTCTGCTCCCCGTTGCTCGGCTGGGAACCTTCAGAAGAGGCCTCTCTCCACCCAGCAACCTGGGTCTGTTTTATTTTATCTATTTTTATTGATGTCAGAGAGGAAGGGAGAGGGAGAGGGAGAGGGAGAAGAGGGAGAGGGAGAGGGAGAGGGAGAGGGAGAGGGAGAAACATAATGATGAGAGAGAATCATGGATCGGCTGCCTCCTGCACGCCCCCCACTGGGGACCGAGCCCACAACCCGGGCCTGTGCCCTGACCGGGAATTGAACCGTGACCTCTGGTTCATAGGTCGACGCTCAACCCCTGAGCCACGCCGGCCGGCTGGGTCAGGTCACTGTTTTCTGGGGCCTCCTCTGTCTCTTTGGTCTGATGTGTGGGTCTGAGTTGTGTGGCCTGTTTTCAGCAGACACCTGGACAAGGGGGGCCCTCAGGGGACCCCGCCCTCTGCAGCGAGGGTGACCGCCCTGCAGGCAGAGGCCAGGCCTGTGTTTATGGGGCATGTGGAACAAGATCTCCATCCCGAAATGTCCGTCTGGTCATGAAGACAGGAGTGGCCGTGGTTTCTCTGGATGGGGAGGGGGCTCCCCTATGTCTGAAGGCCCCCGACAGAGTCAAGGGGCGACACGCGTGTCCAAGGCTGCGTGTGGCCCGGGGCTCGGCCGGTGGCCACAGAGGAAAAAGGCCCAGGACCCAGGAGACAGAGCAGCCAAAGGCAGATGCCCAGCCCCAGTGGCCAGCAGGGCGCTGGGCCCAGGGTCACCCAAGCAGGTGTCCGACGTCCCCCAGGCCCGGCCGGCGTGGCTCAGGGGTTGAGCGTCGACCGATGAGCCAGGAGGTCAGGGTTCGATTCCTGGTCAGGGCACAGGCCGAGTTGCGGCTCGATCCCCAGTGGGCAGCCGGTGGGGGCGGGTCTCCGGGCAGCAGATCCTGGACACACCCTGTTGCAGCGCTGGCCTGGGGTGGGCTTCTCCCTCCCGAGTGACCCAGTTCTCACAAATTTCTCACAACTTCTTCTCATGTATAAAGGCCAGACAATGCCTGTCACTTCTCCCACTCAGGCCCCCCTCCTGCCCCCCGGAAGCAGCCGTGTCAGGGAGAGGACAGACTCAGCGCTGGGCCCGCTGGGAGGGGCTCCCCATCAGGGAGGGACTGGGCCACAGACGCGCACTCACAACATGCCCGCTGCCTCCCTGGCCAGAGGGGAGGGTGGGAAGGGGATCCCAGGGCCCAGGAGCACTGTGCTGTCCCCCTGGAAGCCCAGAGGACAGACCTCAGGCCTGAGGCCGATCCGCCTCGGACGCAGCGGGAACAAGCGCCTGCTCGAGCCCCCGCGTGAGCCTGCAGCCCAAGGAGCACCGTCCGCGGAGCCGCACGTCTGTCTCGCACACGGAAACGGGAAACGGAGGCAGAGGTGAGGGAAGACGGGACGGCGCTGTGATGGCGTCCCTCAGGCCGCACTCGCCCTCACTGCGCACCTCCCCCACCGAGGGGAGCCTCAGTCTCTCCCTGCTCCCTCCCGCTCCGTGTCTCTCTGTCTCTCCCCCTCTTTGTCTCTGTCTCTCCCTCTCTGTCTCTCTCTTGGGGACGATGAGGCTTTTGGAAACACCCTCCTGACCTTGCCTGTCTTTCCTCCTCCCACACCCACGAGGGGCGGGAGCTGCCTGTCCCTGGGAGGCGCGCGGAGAGCCCTGGGCAGGACAGCGGGGAGTGGGCCAGTCTGCAGGGGGCTGCGGGCCTCAGACCCTCCCATGCCCCGCCCCCTCCTGTCTCCAGGATGAGCACCCGCCCCAGTGTTTGCCTGAAATCCCGGCTCTTCCGTGGTCCTGAAGTGAGGAGTCTGGCTCAGCGGACTCAAAAGCACGAGAGGCCCATGAAGCCCACGGCGCGTGCCTTTCCAAGCCGCCGATCCACGCGCCCATGGCTCCAGCCCCGCGCGGCCACTCACAGAGCTCGCAGCTCAGCCCCCGGGAAAGCTCGGCTCCGTGAGCCTCAAGCAGCTCCCGCCTCTTCCCCCAAAGCAAACGCAGGGCCGGCAGGACGACAGTCCACAGCCACCAGGGCACGGCGCAGGCAGGACGGTGACCGCCACAGCGCCTCCCAGGACACACGGTCTCTGGAGCTTTGTGTGGCGACAGATGTCAGTCAATCGTGCGGTCATTTTGCACCGAATAAAAATATATAGCTGCCAAGTCATTACAGTGCACACCTGGGACTAATGTAACGCTCTGTGTCAGTTATTCCTCAGCCAAAGAGACAAAAATGGCACACACACATACACATATGCACATATACACACATACATATGCACACATATGCACACACGCATAATTACACACATACATACACACATGCATATATACACATACAAATTTACATACACACACGTACACACATGCGAGTACTTTCCCCCCAACACTGTCTAGGTAACTGTCTGCCCAGTAACAGTTCACAGCGTTTCTTGGGGATGTCACACATGCCAGACACACGTGGAGACGGAAAGGGGGCTGGGGTTCCGTGGCTCCAGTGAAACCGCCTCCAGGGTGTCTGCGTGTCAGGCCTGGACGTGGGGCCCACGTGCTAAGTGTGGGTGTTCACCCTGAGGCGGTATGGCTCTCGTGCGCAGTCCATGTCATCATTCCCATTCCACAGATGAGGAACCCGAGGCTGAGAGAGAAGGGGCCCGCGTGGGCACACGCCTCGGAGACCACAGAGCTGAGATTCGAACCCACGACCGTGCGATGGTGACACCTTCTCAGTCTACGGTTCCTGCCGGCCGGGACCTCGAAGCCCAGCGCCCAGCGTCACCCCGATTTCAGCAGGAAACACGCACGCTCTTTGGAAGACTCTGCCATTCGCCCCCCCATCCATTTCCATCCTGGTCACTTGGTCCCCTGGCAGCACCGACCCTCCCCGCCACCAGCCACACTGCTCTCCATGAGCCGGGCGCCTTCCTGGCCCACAGTGACGCTGGCCTCG